TCAAGAAAAGAATCCCCATTCCTAACCCATTAACTTCCCATTTCCTTTCTAAAACTACAGAATGTATCTATTTGTTCCTTTGGAAACTACAAATCATCTGGGAGATTTTCTCACTGGCTCTTTTAGTCCTTTGTCTTTGAGGAATGGGCTTTTTCCCACTGGAAGCCACTAAAGGGATTTTTCCAAAGGAACTACACCACATTGAACTGACTGCAAAGGCAATTATTCAAGGAAAATGCTCTCTGTGAGTTGGCCAGACAAGATGAAATTGAATAATTTTCTTTTAAACCCTAAAGAGGAGAAAAAAGACTTGGGAATAAAAAAAAAAAGGATAAGTGCCAAAAAAAACTTCCCCACACAGAAAAAGGAGTGGTCAAGTACCAAAGCACAAGCCAAAAATGATGTCTTGGCCTGTCCTACTTAATGATGCCCTCTGTGGATCAGGAGCTTTCTCTCCTTCTCTCTGCAATTCTCCTTGGAGTTACAGTCTTGTGTGTTAGTGTAAAATGAAAATAACCACAATAAAAAATAAATAAATGCCCTTCCAGAAGATACGGTGTCCAGCCATGAAAAGTCCAGCATATGAGATATATTTTATCCACTGAAAATAATATACCACTGGAACTAGTGACGTCCACTTTTATAATGAGCAGAACATCTTGGCTTAGTTCTTTAATATTTTATCAACATGCTCAGAAGTATTTCCTTTAAATGAAATCCTTGCTGTTACGAGCTTTCACTTTTCACATTTGGGAAATAACTTTCATTCCCATGAAGAATTATAAATGAGAATTATAAACATTATTAGCATTGAGTGACAGACACCACAAAATCCCCTCTCATGTTAAAAGCAAGCAAACTGTAACCTAGAAAGGTGTTCAAGTTCATTCGGCTGCTTAGTGACAGGGTCACAGCCAAAAGCTATGTGTTCCTGATCCTAGCCCCACTATTCTGACCACCTGCTCACCACTCAGTATTCTGCTAAGTGGAAAATAATTAGAACAATAATTTGTGCAGATACAATTTTTAAATTATTTCTGTAGGTCTAAGTATAAATTCATGAATGGCAAGTTTTGATATGTTTATCTTACCATAAACTGATTTTCGTCAATTCAGTGCCTTCACTACATTTGAGTTTCCCATTCAAGCATTTAAGTTAAAACCTCTGACCATAAAAAATACAGAAATAAATCATTTTTACATTGCCAGCAGGAGAACAACAGCCATTCTACCTGCTATGAAATGTAAATAGTAAACTAGTTCTCAAAATTAATCTTTATAAGTTCAGATTGACAATGACATAGATCACAAAGCATAACATTATGTGCTGTGACCTTATAATGTACATTCATAAATGCTTGAGTTATGCAGTAGATTTCTATTACTACTATATTTTGCAAGTTAGTATTACTTCTAAGAAGATCTAAATGGTAAGAAATTTCAGGTTAGCCTCCATATAAAATGTGTCTAAATTCCAGGACTGAAACAGGGGAAATAATACTGATATTAAACTAAATGACATAAAATACCTAGAAAATCAGAATTGATTAGAAATGGCATATTTGAGTGTTTTTCACATTTACTAATGAAAAGCATATTGTATTTGTGTAAACAATGTGTCAGAAAAGTGGCCTTATACGTGTAGCAGATGAGAAATTTCCCTGGAAATGATAAACATTTGAATTACAACTCAAAAGTCACTGAGAATGAAACTGGAAATGGAAAATAAACCAAACCAGGCAATGAAGAAATCTGAGGGCTATACACAAGGGACTCCAAAATTGAATACACAGTCTTTACACTCAAGTTGCCTCATGTCTAGTTGGCAGGCAGAAATGTAAATGTAACCCATATGTTTGCTGGGGTCACTCTGTCCTTTCAGAGTTCCTATAAAGAAGGATTAATTTGAGGGAACTCCTATTCTGAGGATTTCTCTTCTGATATCTTGTTCTTGCTGAATTATGTCACTGCCATCCTTCCACTCTGCTCTGTCCAGATTTTGAATAGAGTCTCTTGTCCTTGAGTTCAACTGAAACATCACTCACACAAGGCATTAGCATATTACCAACATTACTGAAGGTCTGTGGCAATGGGGCAAGGACCGTTATGTCATAAAATCACACTGCACAGAACTTGACCATGGAGTTGAAGAGATCCCTAGGCTCATAAGTCCTTCAGCTACTTTGCTCTGGTGATTTTGCTCCAGTTTCCCACTTTCCCATCACATTCATTTTGTTTTGTTTTGTTTTGTTTTGTTTTTGGAGATGGAGTCTCGCTCTGGCACCCAGGCTGGAGTGCAATGGTGCAGTCTTGGCTCATTGCAACCTCTGCCTCCCAGGTTCAAGCAATTCTCCTGTCTCAGCCTCCCAAGTAGCTGAGATTACAAGCACATGCCACCACACCTGGCTAATTTTTGTTTTTTAGTTTTCCCATCACATTCTGTCTCCTTCCCTCTCCTCTTTCTCCTGATTACCACTGAAGCTCAATTCTCCTTAACCTTTTTGAGTAATTCTTTCTTTATTTCAGTGCTTCTTCTAAAGCATGCCTTAATAACCTCGTCATCTTCCCCAAGTAATCTATTAGGAAATTTTCCTAAACAGAGACAGATGCCTCCATAAAAGGATCTCCTGGATCAGGTGTTAAAGTAACAAACTTCTCCCTAGCAACATGTATGGTACAGCATATTTATTCCTACAAAACTAATCAGTGTCAGCAGCAGCAGTTACAGAGAAGAAAGCAATAAAGGCCTTAGTTTTATTGTCTGTATTAATAAAATTTATTTCTTTTCACACAGTTACCATAGGAATTAACTGATTGTATAAATTCTGATTTATATCCTAATACAATACATGCTATTCAATATCTAGCCATATCTGATTCATAGTACACATTTTTTTTCTTTTCTTTCTTTCTTTTTTTTTTTTTTTTTGAGATGAAGTCTCTCTCTGTTGCCCAGACTGGAGTGTAGTGGCATGATCTCAGCGCACTGCAACCTCTGCTTCCTGGGTTCCAGCGATTCTTCTGCCTCAGCCTCCTAAGTAGCTGAGACTACAGATGCCTGTCACCATGCCCAGCTAATTTTTATATTTTTTTAATAGAGATAGAGTTTTACTATATTGGTCAGGCTGATCTTGAAATCTTGACCTTGTGATCTGCCTGCCTTGGCCTCCCAGAGTGCTGAGATTATAGGTGTGAGCCACCACACCTGGCCTCATAGTACACTTTCAACTAATTTGACAGGCGTTCTTCCACACCTGCCACATGGCAGGGAGAGACTGAAGACGTTTCCTGAACAAAAAGTCATCAAAGATTATCCTTTTAAAATATTTACTTTTAAAAGAGGCCACCATGGGACATTTGGGGTTGTTCTAAGAGAGAAGAACATGACAAAGATGTGTAATAAAGAAAATGCACAATGAATTCATTCATATGGGGGTGATAAATTACAAGTAGATTCGGCAGGGGCTTAAAGGCAGGGTAATGATTTCAGATTTAATTCAATAAATTGAAAACAAAGTCACCACTGTCATGTGTGTGGTGACTGACAAGCAATTTTGGTTACATAATAGCATCAGAGCATTCAAAATGTGAGTTGGAAGAGTTTGTGTTTTCTGCTCTGGTCAAGAAATACCTATAGAGTTGTGTTCAGCCAGGACTCCATTATTTGAGAACTTTAATAAATTCTAACTCATTCAAAGAGAAGAATAGTGAGGAAGTCTGGTACTATGACACATGAAAAATAGCAAAAAGAACAAGGAGTTTTTGCCCTGTGAAAGAGCTATTACACAGGGATGTCATGATAGACCATGACATTCCTAAGAACATAGTTTGGTATTTTTGACCTTTGAGTCCTCAGTGCCTACATATGACTGTTACTCAATAAAGGCCTGTTGAATAAATGAATGAATAATTGAACGGCCAGCTGTAAGACAGAATGGAAATTAAATTTGTTCTTTGTGTCCCTGAAGGGCAGAGGATGATGGGAGTTACAGAGATAGAGATAGAGATGGCAACTCAGCATAAAGAAGATTTTAACACGTGCAACCTCTCAGCAATGAATGGAACTGCAGCCAGAGATGGTCAAGTTTCAACTCACATCCTAGGGTGAATAAGCTTATGCTTGTCAAGGAATGATTTAAGCATTCTTTGGACTCTATGAGCATTCGGTTTCATCAAAATTGCTGAATTTTTAGCTACATATAGATCTCTTATAATGACTTGCAACAACTTTGTTAATATTACGTGCAAATGTAGTAACAAATTACCCTACAAAATGTGCTTCTTTTTTTTTTTTTTGAAACAGAGTTTCGCTCTTGTTACCCAGGCTGGAGTGCAATGGCCCGATCTTGGCTCACTGCAACCTCCGCCCAGGATGGTCTCGATCTCTTGACCTCATGATCCACCCACCTCGGCCTCCCAAAGTGCTGGGATTACAGGCTTGAGCCACCACACCCAGCCCAAAATGTGCTTCTTAAACAATGATCATGTTGCATTTTGAGGTGTTTCACGAGGCACAAATTGATGAGAGGAGATCACACATAGGTAAACACACAGGTATCCCCTACTTCCCACCATGTGTACACATTAGATGAAGTTTCCAATGTATTTAGCTGAAGACATGAATTCTTGTGAGAAGTCGGTGGCTCCACTGGCAAAGGCAAATGTTGCAAATCTCTACACATTTTCCTTTGCCCTTATTGCTTCTGAAGAGGGCAAGCAATTGTTATTTAGATTTTCTATCAAAATACTGTCATATCTTTCCCTGTTATATCTGCATTGACACCACCATCTTGGAAGAACTTTTGCAATAATAGTTATACTATTTTCTTTACAACATTGATTCCCACGTGCAGTTCTTGAACTAAATTCAGCATCAGAAAGGTGTAACTTGGGGAGAAAGCAAGATCACCGCAGTGTGGCTGAATAATACCTTTATCTAGACTTTTCACAACTCTCAAATACCTATTATTTTGTACAATTATAAAAGTAACTTAACTCACATGATTTTCGCAAGGAATTAAATTGTCTTCTTTGAGTATTATGTTGTCTAGTAATTTCTTAATTCAGCCATTCTTTTGGTAGCTCCTGGAAAGTATGGACCAAAGAAATCTTAGTGTTCTATGTAATTATGAGACTAGATAAAGAAATCCTAAGAAATAAAGAATTTGATCAAACGCCTTAAGAAGAAAACATAAAAGAAATGGGAAAGAGTTTTGGCTTTAATAACAAGAAACAAACAAACAAACAAAAAGGTCTGTTTTAAAATATCTTCAAGTTTTGACAGTCTCTGCTTGATGAAGATTTATCAGCCTTCTGAATCTTCCCATAGGCTCATCTGTGCATTTCCTTGTTAAATCTAGTTTTAGCAAAGAGACTTGCTAAGTTAGTTTAACAACAAGCTTCACCCTTGATATCTGGTTCCTCATCCTCTGCCTGCCCTCCGGTGATGACTGATCACCCTGGCCTGTCTTCAGCAAGAATCTTGTTAGGTTGGTCTAGCCAGAATCCCTCTTATTCCTGATATTTTCTTTTAGTAATTTTCCATCCCCTGACTCCCACCCTACTCCTTGACTATAAATTCCCACTTGCTCATGCTGTATTCAGAGTTGAGCTTGGTTACTCTCCCCAACTGCAAAATTCCACTGCCAGGGAACCTGTACCTATTGCAGTGATCATGAATAAAGTCAGCCTTATGATGTAACAAATGTCAGTGAATAACTTTTTCTTTACTAGTTACTACAAAAATAAGAGTAATTAAAATCTGCCTACTGACAGCCATCATTCCAGAAATTTTCAGAAGAAAAATTTGACATTTTTTTAAAAAGATAAAAAGCATAATAATTTAGATGACTACTTTCAGACACTCTCAATGCCCAGTTCTAACACAGAAAAGAAACTAGAGCATTAGACTAGTTATTAAGGAGATTAGGCAAGAGATGTATGTGTCAGTTATGGTTTTATAACTTATAATTTTCTTGTTATGGCATGGAAGTTCATTCATTTATTAAGTATTTATTGAATACCTACTCTGTGCCAGACGACTTTGCTTTATTCAAACAAAAATTGAATAATATGCCTGTTCTAACGAACTCTTTAAAATGCTATTTTATTATTCCCTTTAATTTTAATCCCAGCAATTCCTACCTTAAGAAACGATTAGACAAAATTATACCCATTTTGAAAAAAAAATTTTTAATTATATCATAAGGAAAAGTACACTTTGAATAAAACATGATTATATTAATTATTATTTTTACACCTCATTCAATAGCTTAAAATTCTAACAAAAATTAAATCTCATTAATTCAACATGATAGTTTAGACTAAAAACCAAAGTATTAACTCTAAATTCTATACAGATTAACTCTCTCTCTCTCTCTCTCTCTCTCTCTCTCTCTCTCTGTGTGTGTGTGTGTGTGTGTGTGTGTGTGTATGTGTGTGTGTAGATATAGATATATATAGTAGAAACTGTGGCTTTTATAATGAGCAGCAGAATGATCTGTGATGAGGGAGGAAATCCAACCTATCACAGTATAAATGAATCAAGGACATAACAATGAATAGTATCCAACAGGGAAAGCAGTAAAGAAGATAACGTCTGGAATGCAAAACTTTTACCAAACTTTTACTTGATCTTAAGTAGCACTCAGTACATAGAGTCAAAATATGTGTCCCAAAGAATGTTAGGGCTGCAGAATATAAGCAGATGCTAAGCACAAACATGAACTAAATAAATAAATAAGCTAATCATGGAGATGACTTTCATAGTGATATGTAGGTCAATAAAATACTGTTCAATTAATATAAGACTTCTAAAGATCTTTTATTTTTTAATTAGATAGTATGACTTTCCAGGAAGAGCATAGAATTTTCAGTATTTACGAAATGTGCTTGACTATGATAATATTTTCTTGAAGAATCACTTTCTCAAAGTTTCCAAGAAACAGATTAAGGTGTTGGGAGCCTAAAGGAAGTGATATATAACAAAGCGCCCCTTACAGTGCCTGGCACAGAGTAGATGCTCACTGAAAGGTATTAGTAGCTGTGGGAACAGTCATGGAATTCTTGTTGCTGTTAGCTTTGCAGCACAAGGAAAGCCATAGCTTTATGAAGGCTGACCCACACTCTAAACACATGTAAAATGCTTCTGACAATAGAAGGGGAAAGACAGAAGGGTTCTAGCAGACATTTGTGCCATAACACGCTAAGCATGCAAATGCATTGTCGTTGAATTATTACAACTGTGGCAGGAGATGGTCTTATGACATCAGTTTTCCAGGTGATGAGACTGAGGTTCACAGTAGGGTAACAGTTCCACAGTAAGTAAACGATAGGTCTATCTGAATTCAGAATTAACTAAAGTCACTCTTCTTTGTCAAATCACACTCATTTTTTCAATAGGCTCTTGGTTTCATACTAGAGGTTGCTGTTGTTTGCTTGCTTTATTTGTACTTTCTGGTCATTTTACTATGTAGAGTAGCACTCTAGAAAATAAAGCAGAGCTGAGGGTGAATTTTGTCTCTGCTATTGTCACTTTGGGCCTTGGCTCCTTATTATAAGATTCCTCCATCCTTCTCTTCCTTTCTTTCTTCCTTCCTACCTTTTTTCCTTTCTTTCTTCCATATAAAACCAGTGGTATTTGAGCAAACCAAATAAAAGGAGGAATAGAAAAAGGTGAGACTGGGGAACTAACCACAATTATGAAGGGCATGCTAGACCATGGAAGAAAGGTGGAATTTTACGTTAAGTATAAGGGGAGCCATTAGAGGATCCTAAGCAAGGGAAGTGCATCATCATAGTATCATTGAGAAGATCTCTATTGCTACTATTTGAAGAATGAATAGGGGCAACCCTGCAAGGGATGGGGTGAGAAGCAAGAGTAGAAGTAGAAAGAAGTAGAAAACCCAGTTGGAGTCTATGTCCACTGAGGCAAGAGAAGGCAGAGGCCTGGACTGAGAGGGTGGTCTATGACATGAGGTAAGGAGATAAAGTTCAAATATTATTTTCAAGGTAGTATCAATAGGGCTTGCCAATGTATGTGACATCTAATTTATCAGAAAGGAAGGCTCCCAAATTTTTAGCTTGAGTAGCTTGATAAAACCCTGTACTTTTTATTTTTACATAAAAGGAGAAGAATAGGGATTGGAGCAGCTGGACATGGAAGGGGAAAAACCCAGAATTTCATTTTGGATCTGTTAAATTGGAGAACCTGAGTCACATTCCAAAGAAGATGTCAAGTAGGCATTTGGACATGAGAGTGAAAAGCTCAGCAGAAAGATGTGGGCTCCAATGGAAATGTGGGAGCCATTAGCAGGACAGAGCTCACAACCATGGTAGCTAATGAGATCACTTAGGGACAAAGGTTAGAGATGGAAAAGATGACAGCCTGAGATTAAATACTGAGTTACCTAATGAAGAGGTCAGAGAAGGCTCCAGCAAAGAGAACAAAACAAAACAAAAGATGAATTGAAGAAGGAAGAAAAGCAGGAGACAGCGGTGTTTTAAAACCAAGAGAGTAAAGCCCTACCATGGAACAGGCATGGGGGATTTAAAAAGTGATGAATTACTACGTTAAATGGATGATATCTTGAAATATTAACTCTTTCTTTTCTAGGATGGGATGAAGGTAATGCTGTGACTCATGGGAGGAGAGAGACACTTCCTCCATGGGAGAGGGATGCAATGATGGGTGGGTTTAGAGATGAAAAGAAGAGGGAGTTTACAACTGATGGCAATAATTTTTTCATAAAATACGAAGTTCTTAGACCAAATCTCAGATACATGCAACCATGTAAAATAAGGACAAAGTTTCATTATGTATGACTTCCTGTAACAAGGTACTGCGTAATAGGAGAACTATCTATATAAACATAAATGGTCATAGTGGCAGCAAAGATTGCAATATCTCAAAATATACTCTAGTAGAAGGAAAAATGAACTTTCTGTCAAAGCTGAGCCTAATTTGCACTTGACCAAATAAAGTAATAGACTGTTATCTGGTTCCCAGAGGGTAGCCTTTTCTATAGAGGGCTAGTAGCATTTCTCTTTCTTTACACTGTAACTTTTACTTTGTTCAAGAGCCATTGTCACACTCACAGTGAAAGGACAACCTAGGGACTCTGCCCTTCACAATAATTAGTAGAGACAGAGAGGAGCAGATCATTTCATGTTATAGATTGGCCCTAACCTTGGTTTCTTAATCTGTTTATACTTGATGACTAAAATGGTGTAGTAAGGGCTCAGCTGAGACACCTGTAAAAACAATCCACTTTCAAAATGTGAGGCAAGGCATAGCTTGAAAGCTTGGTGAGCCTAAGACCACTGGATATGCAGCTATAAAGCTGTGGAGAGCTAATGCATACTTTGCTATGCTCGTTCTAAACTAACAACCACAGAGTTTAAAAACTAATAAAGTCCTGCATAACCTTTTTAGCTGAGGGAATGAGTATATTTATAAATTATTCATAGTTTCTCCTACTTGGCCTATAAATTGGAATTGACCTATCTTTTAGTCCCTTTGTGTTCTAAAGTGCCTTTTAGGGAAAACTCAAGTCCAGGAACATCTTCTAGAAAGAAATTACCTACTTCTTATCCTCCAACATTGTAGTCAGTTCCTCCTTCTCTTGTCTCAATGTGTTTAGTTCTTAGGGCCCATGTGCCTCTCCCAAATTGAGGGGTAAGTCTCAAATGGGATGGAAAAAACAACAATTAGATACAGCTACACATCTGTTAGAATGATCAAAATCTAAAACACTGACAGCACCAAATGTCAACAAGGATGTGGAGCAACAGGAATTACTTGCTTGTGGGAATGCACATGGTATGTAGACTTTGGAAAACATTTTGTCAATTTCTTGCAAAACTAAATACACTCTTACAATACAACCCAGTAATCATACTCTTTGGTATTTACCCAAATGAGTTAAAAATTTACATCCATGAAAACCTACACACAGATGTTTACAGAAGCTTTATTCATAATTACCAAAACTCGGAAGCAACCAAGCTGACCTTTAGTATGTGAATGGATAAATAAACTGTGGTATATCCAGACAATGATATATTATTCAGGGATGAAAGGAAAT